CCTGATCATGGCCAGCTGAAAGATATCTTTGGTTTTTCTCCGACGAGGCAAAAGCAGATGCGTGCTGGTGAGGACAACAGCTACTTGTCGTAAAAAACCGCACGTCGCACAGTCCTCCTTGATCCTTCTTTCTGGTGCGGCGAGTGAGTCTGGGCCTGAACGGCAGGTGCAAGTTCCATACGGCTAAACCCCCGACGAGGTTGTCAACATGGGCCGCCTTCGCAACCTTTCCGAGAGCTTCAAGGCTGCGGCATTCAGCAATTCGACCCTCTCCATCTCTTCGCTCTCCAAGGCCTCCTCCGGCCAGACCCAAATCGTCGATAAGGACTCACCGTCATCGGCTCGTTACCAGGAATTTCCGACGCCCTCCGAAACCCCTCGAACAACCCCCCGGACGGAGCGGGCTGCGTCCCGCCCTGTATCCATGGTGTACACACCTCCGTCGATGGAGTTGGAAAGAGAAAATCATATCGAGGAGTTGAGACCGGTGTTCAGGTGCGCCTGGTGGCCTAGTTATATGAATGTCTAGTGCTGACGACCCCACTAGCTTCCTCTCAAGTCACAGCAACAAGCTCTATCAAGAAGGTGTTTATTGATTACTTCCTCGATCTACATGTCCTGATGCTGATCATCCCATGCAGGGTACTTTCTCAAACTGAATGATCTTGACACTCGTAAGTGCTTTCCGAACCCTCTGGATTTTGATCCATCGAGTAACCTTTTGAAAGATGGAAGACCTAATCCGGATCGCAACTGGACCGAATGCTTCGCTCAACTGGTCGGCACGGTACTTTCGCTTTGGGACGCCGCTGCTTTGGACGCGGCCGGCCAGGATGGAGAGGTGGCTCCTACATTTATCAACCTGGCGGATGCCTCCATCAAGATGGTACGATCTTTCAGACTCTTGTGGGCGGGCTGATTCTGAGTTACTGGCAGATCGAGACGCTCCCTACGCGAAATCCCGATGTTCAACCTTTACAGAATGTACTCTCCATATCTACGGCGGGCAAGAATCGGTATTTGCTACATTTTAACTCGCTTCACTCTCTCACGCAGTGGACGGCTGGCATCAGACTCGCAATGTTTGAACATGCCTCACTCCAGGAACTGTACACTGGCTCTTTGATTGCCGGCAAAGGGAAGTCTTTAAACAATATCCGGACGATCATGGAGCGTACCAAATTCAAGACGGAAGACTGGGCGCGAGTTCGATTTGGCGCTGGCACTCCATGGAGGCGATGCTGGTGTGTGATAGAGCCTCCCGACGAGAAAGAATGGCAAAAGTCCAACAAGTCCCTGAAGAAGAAATCAGCGTACGACCGACCCGCCATGCCGAAGGGAGTCATCAAGTTCTATGACACCAAGAAGACAAAAAAGGCCATACCTATAGCGACCATTACCGACGCATATTCAGCGTACGCTATCTACCCCCAGTCTAAGCCGTTGATCGACCAGTCTACCTTGGTCAAAGTTGAAGGCCGCATCACAATACATTCTACACCAGAATCCAAGACTGAAGGCTTTGTCTTCGTGATGCCCGAGGTACATCCTGCAGTATCAGGTTTTGAAATGATGCTTCGGTGGCTTTTCCCTGTTTATGACATTTTCCACCTTTACGGTCGTCCCCAACGGCTAATAGCCGACACATGGGACACTCGAGGCCTCATGTTTGCGATGCCGCGGGAGCGGAGATACGGCTATCTAGACATTATTGACGTTGCTGCGCTTGTCCATTCTCAGGGAAGCGAAAAATGGAGCGAACGTGAATGGCGGAGACAGTTGAAAGAGGCAACTTCTAAGCGAATGTCAATGACCGCACAGGGACGTTCGAGTGGCACTTTCGAAAATAGGCGCCCGAACCGAGTATTTTCGGAATCCAGGCAAGGCGTGCATTACGACGATGCTGATTCAGTACGTTCGTCGCCTTTTTCGCGACATCAGCACAATCAATCAACCGATGCAGTGTTTGCTTCCCCAAAGAAAGTTGTCACTGCTCCAGCAAACACGGCCTATCTCTCCCCAGGACAAAACCACCATTCAAGGTCTGTATCAGAATCCGTGGCGTACATGTCACCGACCCAGAATCGTCGCCAGCACGACCATTATCATCCTTCCAGGTTGTCCACTGAATACACCGATATGGAGCCTATTCAGCCTCCCCCGGCTCCTCCTGCTCATCGAAACCCATTCAAGAATAACATTATTCATAGTGAAGCAGAAACATCAGACAGCCGCTACAGCTCGGATAGCGACGGACAAGGTCCACGGACTCAACCGGAAGATATTCAACGAGATGTAGGCGAAACAGCACCACCTGCGCCAGTGGTGGCTCCTCCAAATATGCAGCACCAACACAGTGACGTCCCACAGAGGCGACCCGATGCTCGACCGGATTTGAGACGTGAGAAAAGTCGAATGTCGAATGGAACCTTGTCTCAGATTGTTGATGTGAATAAACTCGCGAACAGTGGGGCGGCGGGGCATGCAGCGTTGGTGGCGTGGAATAATGGCCGAGAAGGCGAGAATCAGGGGCTTCGAGGGGTAAATGAGACCCCTCGCGACGAAGAAATATCTGCTAATCAACCTGTTTCTCAAGAAGTGGTAGCAGAAGGTGCTTATACGCAAAACCCTGCTGATGTCAGACCAGAACATCCCCGGATGCCCTCTGAACAGTCAACGGCCACCAAACCGATCCATCGAAAGCCTGTCCCGACAACCACATCAACCCTGTTAACACCATCCAACCGTGTGCAATCGCCCGACAGGATGTCCAGACACTCAGCCTCCAGTTATGACAGCACCCCGAGTAGTTCACCGGACTATGACAGTCTTCCCGAGGACGATGATCGTCCTGTATTTCACAGAAAAACCAGGACAGGCGTCTTAAAGACAGTCGGAGATCCTCAACTGTCTAGTGGCGGTCAACAAGACTCGGCCAAAATCGACATACCGGTCGTTGACTTTGGCATGACGTTTACCCCTAGCTTGACCCCGGGACACAGTCGTCCTCCGACAGCTTCTGGAATCACCGGACGGCAGTCGCCGTTTGATCAGCCATTGACCGCCCCCGCAACGCCTTTGACCAGATCTCCTCAAGAAGAGCGAACCTCTCCGGGAAATCTTAGCCCTGGCGACGGGCAGAGGTCACCGTTGGTTGAGAGAAACAGCCCCAAGGGCGCTCACTCGCGCTCATCTAGCTATGCTTGGCATCCCGGAACGACCCTGGAGAGGCACAATTCAGTAGGAGGCTTGACAGCTGAGGAGTTCGTCCAGCAACGCGCCGTCGCTGCTAGGGTTCCACAAGGATATGTCCCTCACCGGAGTGTTTCCTACAGTAAGGTCGAGCAGTCTCCAAACAAATTGCAGAAAAAACGAGATTCAATGCTTCGACCCAGCTCGAGGCATTCGTTATTGATCGATCCATCATCACATTTATCAGCCCGAGAACAGGAGCATGTTGCCAAAATGACTGGTGGCCCGTTGATTCAGGTGGTTGACCGGAGTAAGACGCCAGACCCATCTGTCGGGCTGATAGGGGCGATCGAAGCACGAGAGCAAGAAAAGAGAAACATCAAGGACGGGGTTGCCGGTCATATGGTTCAAGAGGCCATCGCGCAAAGGCAGGCGGCAGAGCGCACCTACGGAATGCAGTCGCATGCCAGCTACAACTCGCCTGTTGACGTCAGACAAAGTGGGCAATGGGCCGGCTCTCAAGGACCTCTGTACTGGGGTGGTACCGTGCCGCAACAGCCGCAACACGCCTGGTCGAACCAGTCGGCGTGGCAGTATCAGCAACAGGCTCAGGCCCAGGCACAGCAGATACAACAGATGCAGCACCAGCAGCCCTATCAGATGTATAATGCGAGATCTAGTGGGCATTATGTGTTACCGGGTGGCTATGGCTCCCGGTAGAGGATCAGTACGGATATTCCTGGGTTGAATTTGCATGGCAAGCGAGTGATTTTGGCATCGGTGGGCGCTGGGAGATACGTAGATACACCTTACGCAGGCGTTTATCCAGGGCTAGTATAGAATGATAAGAATGTCACAAGATTATCGCAGCTCCTTCCTCATGGGGCCAAGGACCAGCTAGAAGCAGTACTCGGTCTGGAGAACAATGATAATGACACCTTGCATCGGCTACAACCAAGGACAATCCCACGGGTTCCGCCCCGGATTTGGGCAAGCGAGAGGGATCAAGCGAGGAAACGGAGTCGTGCTGGAGGAGTGTGCATATGCATGATCCCGTACCTACCTCGTACTTGTAGGGTCCTCATTCAAATTCTAGGGGGCTGGGGAGCTTGAGAGGCTCGAGAAATTCACCTGAGAGATGAAGCACGTGGCAGGAGTTCCAGGTACAGTAGTACGAGCACTACGAGATAGTTTCGCCTCGATTGAGGAAAGCGAGGGGAAGGGACGCCTAGCCCCGTGGCTTCTAGGGCACAGTTATTGGCTCAAGGTCTGGAACAGGCCTAAAGGGGAGAGAGGATTATAAGGGGTCCCCTTGTTAGCACACATCCATGGGCACCCTGGGCAGCTACGCACCTGCTGCCCGCACCGGAAATGTAGTCGTGAACCTCCAGCTCCGCCGTCCACGTACGTCCTGCAACAATTCCAAGAAACATCACCGCCATAGTGCACTTCGATGCCAACTTTATCTCACATCTACTATTACCCCCGATTAACACCACAGCGGATTGCCTTCACCCTCTTTCCACTCGCTTCCTCCTTTGCCTCTTGCAATCCGGTGTCCCAGATACTGCCTGCATTGCACACACCATCTCACAGTCACAGCGGGCCTGCTGACTGAGGATTCGGGGCCTCCCATCTAAAAGCAGAGCAATTATTATTTCTGAACTGAATCTCTCCTGGTCCACGTACGCAGTTGTCCGTTGTCCGAGCACCCCCTCTCGACTTACCGTTTGTACTGCACGATACACATCGCTGCAGCTATTATGTTCGCCATGGTCTGAACCACGGTTTTATCCATATCTTACGCCATGCCGTTGCGAACCCTACTACCATCGAAGCCTACATCGGGTCCTAGTCACCGCAGACATGGCAGTATCGTCGAAGATCCCCCCTCTACGTCGGCTAGCAGCAACGTGCCATCTACTCGAACCCACAGCCGCGGTAGCTCTCTGAAGAGACTGAGTCTGAGTCTGTCGCGGACCAACGACGAACCTTTCCCTCCATCTTTGACGCAGGATCTGGAGGGACTTCCCGGCCACCAACCCCCCGTCCAGCCTCATGTACCTTCCTACCAAACTGATCCGCCGAAAAGTGCCAGCACCCCGGCGACCAGATCACCGACGCAGATTGAAGGAGATGGGAGAAACGGGATGCAAAATGACCTTGGCTTTGGTCTCAAGTCTATGCCTCAACGACTCTCACTCTTGGGATTGAGGCATGCGTCGGATCCACAACTGTCCAGCAGGTTCAAGAAGGAGGAGATTAGTCCTTCCAACGACGTCCCACGTATGTATTTTTTTTTCTCTTGATCTTTTAAGCAGACTGCTAATTCTGTATCGAGCAGCACCCACAATCATCACAACCGCGCCGACGACCAACGACTTCGACGAGCCTGCCCAGAAGCCATCGCGAAGGAAATTGTTTGCCAGAGCGCCAAGTCCTTTCCGCAAGAGTCACAGCTTTAGACGGACTATTTTAGACCCTTTGAAAGGTACCGGTAACGAAGACGGCCAGGATGAAAAAGCGAGCTTGGCAAAACCTGGGATGCTCAAAGAAACCACCTCGTTTGAGCGCCTTCCGCGACCAAGGACAGGACATTCTGGCGCGGAGCCGCCTGCGTACGGTGACGAATCTTCGTCCTCGCTGGCCATCCCCATTACGCGACTCTCGGAGTCGTCTCGATCGGATGATAGTTCTGGGGACCACCACGTCTACGCAAAGACTACCACCACACACACCATCTCTACCACCACCACCTTCTTCAAGTTGAAGAGGCGCAAGAAGAATAAAGGTCTACTTTTCCCACTACCTGAAAAGTTTGCAACACCTGCCTCAGGGCGGACCACGGCCTCGCATACCCCTCAAGAGTCTCTGATGGGAAGGAAATCTATGTCGCCGAGCAGGAGATCAAACACGGCCGTGAGATTTGACACTGAGCCGAGCCGACATGGCTCTGCAGTTCCTTCACCCACTCATTCCGCCACGGCACTCACAAATGCTCCATTTGGGTCGCCGGGGGCCACCATTGTGCGGCAAGACTCCAATTGGTCCACCCACTCTGGTCAATCGACGCCATCAGTGACACTGATTCCCCCGCGACTATCGGGAAGAGGAAGATCTTCGACCTTGAGCTCGCTAGGGAAATCAACTGAGAGGTTGTCTGAGTCAGGTCCCCAGCCAGCATCAACGCGAACATCGACGTCGACAAGTGGACGAAGAAGCTTTGGCGATCTGCTGTCCCTTCCTCACAGACTACGGCAGAATTCCGCGCCACCTACGCGCGGTGCTGGCTCAACTCCCGGCACGCCTGGCTCAAAATCCAACTCTTTACACATCCCTCGAGAGCCGGAACCGGAGCGGGTGTATCCCAAACGAGAGGATGGCGATACCCCGGCTAGTTACCTGGAAAAGCTCGAGGCCGCAGTTCCCCGGAGCGCAATGGCGTCCATTCTCTGCAAGAGCGCAGATGACTTTTCCAAAACATGCTTGCGCAAGTACATGCGCGGCTTTTCCTATTTTGGCGATTCCATTGACATGGCGATCCGGAAGATGTTGATGGAAGTAGAGTTGCCCAAAGAAACTCAGCAGATCGATAGACTGCTCGCCGGGTTCGCGGACAGGTACTATGAATGTAACCCGGGAATCTTCTCCTCGACGGACGAAGCGGCCTTTGTCGCGTTCTCGATCCTTCTCCTACACTCCGACACGCACAACAAGAATAACAAGAGGAAGATGCAGAAACAAGACTATGTCAAGAACACCCAACAGGGTCCGGTGCAGATTTCCAGTGATATTCTCGACTGCTTCTACGACAATGTGTGCTACACGCCCTTCATTCACTTTGAAGACGAGGTGGCCGTCAACAGTCACCGTCTATCAGCGCCCAAACCAAAGAGAAGCCTAATCAAGACTAGAAGCCTTGAAAGCCTCCGCGGTCCTGTCGACCCCTACACTCTGATCTTGGATAATAAGTTGGACGTGTTGCGGCCGTCTCTGAAAGATGTGATGGATACTGAGGATTGCTATTGTTCCACAGGCACATCCGGTGTGCTCGAGACCGAACACCATCATAAGGCTTTTGTGAACTCAGCGGTGTTGCAGATTGTGTCTGCAAGGTCAAGGCCGGATGCTTTCTTGTCCCAAGCCACCATTAGCAACCCCGGTGAAGCGCAAGCTGGCCTGGTCAGTATCAAGGTTGCCAAAGTGGGGCTGCTGTGGCGCAAGGATCCAAAGAAGAAGAAAGCAAAGCGCCCGTGGCAAGAATGGGGTGCGATCCTGACTGACTCAAAGCTCTATTTCTTCAAAGATGTCGGGTGGGTCAAGAAGCTGATTGCGCAGCACGATGCCCATTCCAAGTCGACCAATAGATCTGCTCCTCTTGTCTTCAAACCGCCGCTTACTTCTTTCGAACCCGATGCGCTGATGTCTATGGACGATGCCGTGGCATTACTGGATTCGAGCTACAAGAAACACAAGAATGCCTTTGTTTTCATCAAGCACGGAGGTTTCGAGGAGATTTTTCTAGCTAACAGCGAGGTCGAGATGAACGACTGGATCGGCAAGCTCAACTACGCGGCTACTTTTCGCACCGCCGGTGTGAGGATGCGCGGGCTTCTGGGATCCAACTACGAAGGCCGTCATCTGCTGCGAAAGGACTCGGATTTCTCCTCCAAAAGTGGGGACACGCCCCAGAAAGACAAGAAGGTCGACCCCCAGATGGCGTGGGAGATTATGTTCTACCGCCGGCAACTGATTAACGAGAAAATCAGCGATTTTGACGAGAGGATCGCGGTGGCTCAAAAGGAACTCGACCATCTCCTTCGCAACGCGCGGCATCTGCTCATCTTGCTCCCCATCCAACAGAAGACTCGTGAATTTCTCGTGCTGGCTGCCGGCCGTATGTCGGCCAAATTGAAATGGACCAGAGTGGAGCTTTGGAGGACGAGGACTCACCGAGACATTCTTTTCAAAGACCTCGAAGAGGAGGGTGCCACTGCATTCCCTGCTCCCAAGGCGTCATTGACTTCGACGCCTCAGAAAACCACTCCTCTGAGGACGGGTCAAGGAGATCTGGGGCGAACCATCACCGACACAAGCCACATCACCTTGTCACCGGCCAGTGCTACTTCGTCGAGGCTGTCCAACATTGTCGACAAGCTCAAGACATCGGAAAACTTCAGCATTAGCACGACCGACCTTCCATCGGCTATAAGCCCGTCTGTGTCCGGAGAGGCATCTCTATCGAGGCACGAAAGCACCCAGGACTCGCACAGTCTATCACACCAAGTTTCTACCACCAGTTCCCATCACAGTCGAGATAGAGACCGACTTGCACGCGGAGCGGATGACTCCGAGGAACGTGTCTTGCGCGAAGCCGGACTGACGCACGTGGACGGTAACGTCGCCCGGGATAGGAGGCCTGACACCAGTGAATCAGAACGGGATCGGGTTGGAACAATGGCGGGCGCCGCTGAGCCTTCAAAGGCTGGAAGTGTTCGCCGGAGCCTTCAGCGCAGCTTGCGTGAGCCACACCTCCACCACCATCACCACCTTCACCAGTCTCCTAGTGTTCATCGCCATAAGAAGAGTAAAGAATCGGGCTCTAGTTTGGCTACGACAGATGATGGAGGCAAACTTACGCACGGTGAAGCCGAGGAATTGAAACGGGGCACGGGGAGCTTCATTCTCCACGGCAAGAAGGCTAGTGTCATCACCATGTCTCCAGAATGGCAGCACATGTCTAATGAGGAGAGGCTGAAGATGAGAAAGGCCGAGCGGGAGAATGAAGAGGCGGTCGACGACAAGACTGCCGCATCTACGACGTCATACAATCGGGATGTCACTCTGGGAACAGCGAGCAACGCCTCCTCGACGCACGAAGAGGAATTCGAGGAACCGTTTAGATCCTCCAATTCGAGTCGGAAGCAGAGTTTCGCGACCACATCGGGGGAGCAGTTTGTGGACGCGGAAACCGGGGAGGGTGACGATCTCGGGGTGGTAACTGGCGGAGGGGACGCTGAAAGATGATAAGGCTGGGCTCACACGGACCTTTTCTGTGTACGAGAAGGGTTCCTGGCGACTTGGGAAGTTGGACCAGGGCAATGGATGATTGTCACGACTAACGGATCACGTTCAAAGGGCACGACTTTAGAGGAATGGGATACAAAACACCGGCACCGGCCATGTAACGCTTACTAGGTGGGGATATCTGGCGCAAGTGAGAGGGATAGATGAGCGTCAGTTGCAGCGAGACTCTTTGTTGCCGTGCTTGGAATGGAAAAAGCGTTTTATTCTTGATCAAAGCACATCAAGCCATATCGCCACCTACTCGTGCACCGAAATTTTCCTGTGAAAGTGGTAAGTGGCCCAGCTATTCGATGGGATGTGTAGATAGATGATGTCCTTTAAGATGTCGACGTTGAGTTGTATGTCGGACATGCAGGTTTTCTCGCGGACACCAACACCCCATGTGTGTAAAGGGATATATGTATTGGCCCATCTGGACGGATGTACCGAGTACGAGGTACCTCGTCAAGCTTGTCTAGTACCTCGTACCTTTGGAGGTGGAATGGACCACATCGCCCTGCCCTGTCACCCACTTGTAATTAGGTGTTAGGTTCCTCTTGGGTTGTTTCGGTACGGTATGTACGAGCGAGGAGGTACTCAGACGTTCTTAAGTACGAGTGGGGATCTATGCGCACTAACCTTGTCTGGTACATGCATTAACCGTGTCTGGCATAGTGCAGTATAGTGCGGTATAACTCTACCTACTCGGTGCTTGGACGGTGTACTTGTACTTTGTACTTGTAGGTACGTACATACAAGTAGGAATACCTCTACCTGTACTTGTACTTGTACAGAGTACATGAAAAAAAAAGTATCCGAGTGAGTGCGTGAGGACGTGAGTGAAGACGTAAGTGAGGACGGTGAGGTTGAAGGAAAGATTAAATTGTACAATGCTCGTTTTGATGCTGATTGTTTTTCCCCCCACTTTCGAAATGGGTTCTTGCTACCTACAAGTACCGTGGCACCTTGGGTACCTACCCTGGGCACCTGTTGATAACCCCAGCTCTATCAAGATACATAAAAAGTATTTTCTGTGTAAATGATACCTGTGTGTCCGTGTCCCTCCCTCTTTTCTCTCTCCCTTCCTCGCTTTTCATCTCTTTATCTCTTCATCCATCTCTCTCTCTCTCTCTCTCTCTCTCTCTCTCTCTCTCTCTCTCTCTCTCTCTCTCTCTCTCTCTCTCTGTGTGTGTGTGTGTGTGTGTGTATCTCTCTACCTCTTCTCCCGTCTACTCTTTTTTTTATTCCTTTGGTGACATCATCACAAGGTATGCACCTCGTCCAACGGATCCCTGGCCCTCCCGGCCTCCCAGACCTTGTCGACGAGCGCCCTCCTCGCCTCGCCGCGCGGCTTGAGATCAAACACAAACGGCCGCGGCTGCACGTTGAACCCGGCCGTGTAGTCGTACAGCGGGGGCAGGCCGACGCCCGGCCGCGGCGAAATGTGCGCCGCCCACGCGATCCGCGCCACCAGCAGGTGCAGCGAGTTCTCGGCGATGTTCATCCCGGGGCAGATGCGGCGCCCGAACCCGAAGCACGAGTAGTTCTGCAGGTTGGGGAACTTTGTCAGCGGTTCGCGGAACGTCGGGAAGCTCGGGTCCAGCCAGCGCGACGGGTTGAACGTCTCCGGGTCGGGGTATAGCTCTGGGTCGCGGTGGATGGCCCTGTTGTTGAGTGACGTGGTAAGTCAGTGAGTAATTGAGGTGGGTATGTAGGTGAGGAGGTGAGTGAAAGTAGATTACATGTGGCATGAGAGTGAGTAAAGGGAATCTGTTTGACAAGAAGAGGGAACCCCGTGTCTATAAGAAGCGCCGGGGGTCTGGTAATGGCAAGGATAAAAAACCGAAAAGAAAAAAAAATATCTCACCACTGGTTCGCATGGACGTTGGTCCCCGCTGGCAGGAAATACCCGTTATACACATCGTCCTTGATCAGCTCGTGCGGCACGCCTCCCGCCGTCACGGGCCGCCAGCGCAGCACCTCCTTGATGACGGCCCGACACGTCGGCAGCGAGGGGATGTCGCTGTAGTCTGGAATTCGGTGGTCGCCAACCACGGCGTCGACCTCTTGCTGGATGCGGGTCTGCCACTCGGGGGAGTGGCACATGCAGAGCACAAACGACATCATGGCCGCGGCGGTGGTGCCGGCGCCGGCCTCGAACAGCGTTCCGATGACATAGGCGCCTTCGTCGTCCGAGAGGCCAAATTCGGCCTGTCGCTCGAGGAACGTCTTGGAGAAGCATCGCGGGCCCTTGTCGGCTCGCATCTGCTCACGCACCTCCAGGAGCAGGCCGCGGAACACGTTGATCTCGAACTCGTGCAGCCGTGCGGCTTCGCGCTTGAACGGCGCCAGCCACGTCGGCAGGTTCATCAATACCGGGAACGTGTCGACCAGGTACGCCCCGGGCGAGGCGACCCGCTCGACCGTGTGCACGATCTTCAGGATGTCGCGCACGTACACCTCGTCGCCCGTGTCGACCGTCTTGCCGTAACACAGCCGCATCACCACTGCCGCCGCGTACCTTTCAAACAGCTGCTCGTACTTCTCCGGCGTTCGCAGCAGGTCGCACAACAGCCTCTCCGACTCGTAGATCTGCACGGGTTGGTACGACGTGGCCGACGCGTGCATCGTCATGTTGTGCATCACTTTGCGTCCTCGCCGCCACAGTTCTATTTGCATCTCGTCAGCCTTCCGCCCTGCTCGTTGGTTTGTGTCTTTCACGTTTTGGTCAGTGTCGGACGTAGCACGCACCTCCATAGGGTAAAAAGAGCGGCCTCAAGTTCCGCGACATCAGCCTCGCCGCCATGGGCAGCTGCTCTCGAGACGAGTACAGATTCCCCCGTTCTCGCAGGAGGTCATTGGCGATCTTCTCGGTCGACACCATGACCAGGTTCCGGCCGAAGATGGAGATGCGGTAGAGAGGGCCATATTGATCCGCCCAGGCCTTGAACTTCAACCACGAGTGCTGCGGCGGGATGTCGAGGAGATTTCCCACAAATGGCTTGCCTGTTTGGAATGAATCACTTCCTGATCAGCTCATTTGGAAACGAATATTATTCGCCACTTGAAAGAGAGGAGAAGAGAACGTGGATAAGAAACACTGGAGGTAGTAGCAGCACACATTAGATCCTGGGGTCAACGTACCCTTTGGACCGGGAGGTAGTTTCGCGTTTGGGGGTACTCTCAATCGGTTGGAGTATTGCTGGATGAGAATGCCCACCAGCAGAAGCACAGTCGTGCCAGCGACGAGGAATGACAAGGCCATCTTATTTTTCCGATTGCAGATGTTGTTGCTAGTTGACCTCGGTCGAGACAAGTTGGAGGAAGGGCACGTCTTTGCTCGGTTATATAGAGATGTATGCTTCGCCGCCTCGCCAGATGGAGTTCAGCTGGGATGGAAAGACCCCACGTCTTCTCCATTCCCAGCCTAGCCTCTTACTTTGCCATGCTTGTAGCCTTTCGCCCCGAATGGCGTCTCATTGGAGTTCTTCGGTAATAATAAGCAGTGAGCCCCCCCCAAAAAGACTGAGGCGTCCTTAGCGCGTGTCGACTCCGCACCATAACGAAGTTTTGTCATCGGTCCGGGGCGGGTGTCAATGTCATTTTAGTTCCCAAGGTCCATCACTCCGGGGGTCTTCACTCTTGGTACTCGTTCAGTACTCGTTCAGTAGATGCCATGCTTCCGCGAGAATTGGCCATGGTCAAGAAGAAAGTCGTCGATATCCTCCGAGGCTCTCTGTGCGACTGTCTTGGGGTACCCCAGGCAGGGCTGATGGAAGACTGAAGGCCAAAAGCCACACATGGCAAGGGTGCATGTAGCAAGGAACTACTCCGGCTCGTTTCAATGGGGTTATCCCGAAACGTTGGGGTCATCTGTTTGAAGGACGAATGGTAGCTCCTATATTGTTGTAGCTATTAGGCGCGGCCTGTGTCCGGGCCCATGTATCTCCAGAACCTCGGTCTGGGGCAGATCTGCGCTATAGCAGTGATTAGAAAAGACCTGGTAGGTCCAAGGTGCTAGTCATGATTGGTCGCTTAATTGGTATGATGCGGGAAACCACACACCACTCCGACACCGAGTGGATGAATACTAGACCGATATCTGGTGGCCAAAATGGGTCATTCAATGTAAGCTTATCATATCTAGGAGCTGACTCACCACGCCCCAGTCATATCCCAGTATCAGGACGGCCGGTTAGCGAAGTAGATGATGGAAGCATGTATCCCGGGCCAGTGGGCTCCAAATGCTGCACAATATCGTGTTAAGAGACACACAATCTGCACAAATCTTGTCATGGTGAGATAAAGAACAGAACTGTCAGCGCTGAGGTGACGTCGGCACGCGTTTGCTCCGTGAGAGTTGAAAGGCGAGCGGATCATTGGAGACAGGTGTCTGCTCGAAATTGTTCTGTTATGGTAGGTCATTGTTTCTCATTCTCGACGTAGTATCTCGCTCTCTCTCGGTAGAAGTCGACCTCTGTGACTCTTCTCGCCGCGGAGGCACACGATTTCGCCTTCACACCTACATCACTGTCAGCTTGGGTTGCGAGCAGCATATAGCTCCGAGAATAGGGCAAGTGGTGGCCATGTTCATGGCATGAGTGGTTCTTGAAGACTGCAAGTCCCATGAATAATGCGTGAGCCGATTGAACTCACCTCACATGTATGGCCTACACTCCCGATCGCTCCATTCCCAGAATGCTCTTGCAATTCCATTGCCACCTTCTTCCACACTCTTGCAGCTCTCCTTGACGTCGGCCCTAACATCCAACACACGACCCCACGGCCCAATATAACAACCATTGATTTCAGTGCTCACATCTTCCGAAAACCCAGAGAATAGCTCTGTATATGCGCCAAAAATAGCAGGATACAACATCAGATTCTGGAGCATGCGGCGTGTGGGTGGCACGTAACGCTGCAGCTCAGTGCGAAGATTTCCCGGGTTGAAGCATGTGCTGACCACACTGGGGCCTTGTGTCCTTGACCGTTTGCCGTATTCAGAGGCGTAGAACAGATTGCCTGCTTTGCTGATGGCATATAACTTTTGAGGGTCGGAAAGAGGGAGTTGTGGATTGCCATCGGAGTCCAGGGACATTCCATGTTTCGGTGAAAACAGGTCAATTACCACAGAGCCAGCCCATGAGACACGCACGGTGTCTGGTGGTGACCCTGCGGCGGTGGAACTGAGAATCGGGTGGAGAAAATGTGTGAAGAGCCAAGGACCAAGACAATTGGTAACAATATGCAGTTCATGGCCCTTGACACACGTGGGAGTGTTAGTTGAGTCGGGGAAGATCAAAGAAGACAGCGAAGTTACGAGGCTCGACGAACCTGGGCACCTTGAGATCCAGCTGGTGCCAGCATGACTCCTGCATTGTTACAAAGCCAATCCAGCCTTGTCTCCTGTCGAAGAAACTCGTCCGCACTGGCCTTGATCGTGGTCAAATCGGCAAGGTCGAGCTTCAGATATCTGAGCGCTCCCTTGGGCTTCGTCTTTGAGCCGATCGAGTCGACAATGGATGAGATGGCGTGCTTGCATTTCTCCTCTGATCGACCAGCAAGATAGACCGTCGCATTATGCTCATACAGGATTTTGCACACTTCGAATCCCACCCCGGCATTTCCTCCCGTCACAATACACACCTGTTAAGACACCTTGGATTAGGACATGGTCATGCTGCATATTGTCACCATCCGAGGATTTGCACGTACTTTTCCAGTTTGGTCTGGTAGGGTTTTCTCTGAGATTGCAGGCTTTGGAATAAAGAAAGACTGGGCCAAAGGCCCTTGACGACTGAATGTGTGCCCCATATTTCTACAAAGACCCGAAGTCGTGGTATATCGCACTCGGCGTGAGACGCAGTGAGTCGAAGTTCGGAATACCTGGAGGAGTCCGAAGTGGCGCAATTGAAATCGCATTCGGGTTTGTTGTAGTAGATAGATCAAAATGATGATCTCGTAGGAAATGCCCGATGTGTTTCAAACGCGCGGCGACGAAGTCCATTTCGTCCAATCGGAATCCAGCAGGGGTGTTTCGTAATTATCAGAAGCCCATGTCCGAGTCGCCCACCGGAGCAGAGCCTTGTGAATGTGTGTTTGATATCTGTAACACCATTATCGGGTCCACTGGCGCAGTCCTTGGGAGATTCAAATCGAGCTGCACCTGCAAGAGGTATATTTTATCCACGGTCACTATCTCTTCACCCTACAACGCCAACGTCGCGTCTAGGACCAGCGAGTTTGTCCAGGGAATAGTTGCGTCCGGTTAGTGGATTCTTTGCACGCATATGGGTGGGATTGAGAGCGAAGACTCCTCGTGCACAGTGAATATTCCTGTCAAAAGTAGCACATACCATCTTCAAGTCCTCAAACAAGTAACTCGAGGAGTTTAGTTGTGGTCGAGCTATCTGCGCAGAGCCACCAGGAAGCTTGAACATGTTGCCGCAAAAGATTCAAGGTAGCATCTTAGATTGGTCATTCCGGATATTCCAGGAAGGCATTCTGCCTCTCAGTCAAAGTGTACAGTGTTGGCGAACGCTGGAGATGGTTGGGCGTGAATTCAGGCCTCTCTTGCGTAGACCTTGATAGCATGATACGGTGATAGGATGCAGCTTATTACCATAAATCAAGTTGACATCTTACCCACTAGCTCGCATTGTGCGTCCCATGGTTCAATCTTCAGGTCGGAATGCTGGCCGTTACTATTCAAGGTACTATCCGTGAGATTGCCACAAGTGGAAGGGTCAAGTCTGTTCGTTCTTTGATTCCTCATAGTGACATTGTCGCCAGTGCACTCAAGATATGGTTTCGAAGGTCAGTCTTCAAGAAGTGCTTCAAGCACACATGTAGTACAGACGAGAAGTTTGCTGAAAGTCAAAGACAGCACGGCGGGTTTGATATGTGCTACTCTGAACACGTGCCGCACCGTATTTCTGCTTACTCATCCTCTGGAGGAGCCACTGCTGGGTGCCACCAGAGCTGCTGCTCGACGTCACCTGAACCGAGGGTGTCACGCCCCAGGAAACAGGGACCTTTAACCCCGATAATCGCCTGTTGGGGTGACAGATTAGAGGGGAAGAGAAAAAAAATAGTTACTAAGTAATCAATTTGTCGTATCGGGCTCAGATTGACTTGAGTTATCCATTCGTTCTTGCGCCTCGACATCCTCTCATCTTTACACACAGACCCATCACATCAAGATCGAATCTCAAAATCTCACGACTCACCTCGCCAGAGGGAAATAAAAAGGAACAAATGGCATCAATACTACCATCTTCATCCCTACGACAATGTCTCCACACAATCTCAACGTCGACGTCTAGAAGAGCTATTACCTGCTCATCCACGTCCAGCACAATCCGCCAAAGCCTCCCACAGCGTCGTCTTGCCTCGTCACAAGCATCACAAGCGTCGCCGTGTCTCCCTCCCCAAAAGGCCCTGGATCGTGGACACTCGATGCCCCGCCTGCGTCAGCCCAAACGACATTTCACGGGCACAAGGTTCGTCGCGCGCAATGAACAAACTCCATCGTCCGAGCCGCAACCATCCACCCTCTACACTTTCGCAGACATGCAATCTCTCACGTCTCACCCGGCGCCGAACCGCATCATCATCGACGTCCGCGAACCCTCGGAGCTGAAATCCACGGGCAAGATCCCCGGCGCCCAGAACCTGCCCATAAAATCCGCGGCCGATGGCTTCTTCCTCGGCCCCGACGAGTTCGAGGAGCGCTTCGGCTGGGAGAAGCCCACGGCGCAGCACGAGGTCATCTTCTACTGCAAGGCCGGTGTGAGGAGTCGGGCGGCCGCGGGTCTGGCGGCGCAGGCGGCGTTCGGGGGCAAGATTAGCGAGTTTCCTGGGAGTTGGATCGAGTGGGCGGAGAAGGGCGGGGAGGTGGAAAAGGTGGAAGAATAAGCAGTCAAGGAAAGGGCCTTGTTGGATTGGATTGAGAGTGTGATCCCACACAAGTGCCTAACATATGTATCTACTGGATATGTTGCCGACTATACATACATGACGGTGCAATGAGAAAAAGGCATGTTCAATGACGGACCCATGAATAAGGCTGTGAGGCTGGACATACGACCGCGCTGCTTCCGCGGATGATGAAGCGATAACCCAATATCCAAGGGGGGATGCTATTCTTCCTCACCACCTTCAGATATCAAGCCCCCAGTGACGAGTGAAGCAACATCTCCGTGTCTACAGCTTCCGCGCCAGCACCCTCGACGTTGGGTGACTGCCCAATCTCCAGGCCCTCCATATCTCTCGCAAGCTTCCCCGGAGGACTTGTCTCGGGGATGAAATCCATGTGATCACCAGCATCTGGGTCATCGTCATCCGTGTCCGTTCTCTCTCCAGCCTGCTCCCCTTGCTCGCCAAATGCCTCTTCCCTTCTCCTATCCACAAGCCACTGTTCGATTTTCTCCTCCGTACGATTCACGGCCAGCAAGAGAGCCTTCACACTCAGACAAGCGACCCCGGCGGCTTCTTCGTGGAACTTCTTCACCACGGCACCATCTGCCGCCCGGTCCAGGTCATCGACTTTGGGGTATCGCGGAAATCGAGACCCAGGGCGCAGAACGTCCAGGTTGCGCTCGCTTTCCTCCTCCAAAGTAATGGCTCGTCGTGTTTTCAGGGAGGATTGGACCTTCATGATTCGCGCGTTGCGGCGTGACTGCTCTTCTTGACAAGCTTTCTCATTCTCTTCCGATGTCTTTGTGCGCTCGGCAACAGCTTGGAGCGGGAACATGTCGAGAATATCCTTCTCGATGGTTTGTTCTTGTGACTGGTCTGCTTGGGAAGCATGCTTGCCTGTAATCCACATCTGTTGGTACCAGTCCATGTACTGGTCCAGTTGTCGGTCTGTCATGTCAAGGATATCATTGTCAGTAACATGAATTTCTGAGCCTGGTTTGAGGGAGTTGCCGTCATCACCAGTTTCATTCTGCTTGTCGAAGGTCGCCTTGGCTTCAAGCCAGGCTGACCAATCCACTCGCAGCGTTGCTGGGTCGTTGGGATCTTGTGGATAACGCTTTACGGTGTCGGAGTCAAATGGAAAGAGCAGCTTTGTGGCCACAATGACGAGAGAAATGAGTTGAGACTCTGGATATGTTATTGAGTGGCGCCTCATTGTCTCCGAGGATTTTGCGACGTCAGCGTAGCTGAAGTGATATTGTGTGACAGTATTTAGTCGACGAGCGACGCTGTAAACCTCGAGCGGCAAAGCGAGTTGGCGGATATAGCTGAGCAGCAGGAGATCCTGGTTGAGCTGTGGCATTGCCATGCCGAACGAAGTATCGTACCATTTTGCGCGGTGGTAGACAGCTCTCTGCAGGTCATCAGGTTCCACCAACCGTACAGTATCCAATGCTTGTTGATACTCTCCCGGTAGTCTGTCCTTCATGTCTTGAGGGACGTCCCGAATCGCACGGATGAACGGAATCTCTTCTTCGAGTATCCATCTATTCGAAGCGCGTCAGTGAGAGTTTCCAGATTTCCAGTTTGACCTACTTCAAGACTTCAGCAAGTCCGATGGGTCTCCTGAGCATGACCATGCCCAGATAATTCAGAGCAATGGTATCAACAAGCATAGGATTGCTGTGTGCCGATTTGTTCCTCTTAGATGGCTGAGGCCTCACATCGGTGTCGAGATCAGTATCCGTCTCGTTGCCAGAGCTTGCTGTCGTGTCCGGATTTTCCGATGCACCAGCTAGGCCATCGCTGAGACGATGCTCTAGCTTCGAAAGCCACAAGGTCCACAAGTCTCGGACAATTTCCTAGGTCGTTGCCGTCAGAGGAGAACGCAGAGGTACCAGTTGGGTGAAAACGACCTACCCACAACTCTGCCGGCAATCCTTTCTGGTGGACAAGCACATGACATTGCTTCCACAGAATGAACTGCCATGCTTGAAGGAAGAGCTGGTAAGCTTTGGGACCATGGAGCACTATACAACGTGGTTGGTTAGTCGTCCGATTGAGAGCTGGACAGCTTCGCGGCTCGTATCTGAACTGACATACCTTTGGAGATCTTTTGTTTCTTTCTGATTTCCTTCTTCCTCACCACGGTGCCCTGCCTTCCAAAGTCGGCATCGTCCTCGACAGTCGCAAGACCCAAACCCTGATCATGTCCGTTCGCACAGAATATCCTACCATCTTCATCGTAAAACTCCGTTGAGCCACATGTCCCGCACTCGTCTCCGTCCATGTTGACCAAGTATGGATGACCAGAATTTCGCTGACATGGCGGTTTGTGCCTTGTTGGGGCGTGTTCGGAACTGAGGATACTTGGACGCGATTGAGGAGCACAAGGAAAGACAGAAAAGAGAAGTACAGGCCAACGGAGGGTGCTAATGAAGGAAGAGCCCGAAGCGACAACTACTCACTTGTTTCCACATATAGGTACCGCTGCTTTTAGAGGGACTCACCCCGCGATTTTCTCAAGTTGCGCACAGCATGCGTAAAAATGACGTGTCGCTGCTTTTGGCAGTCTTTTGTCTCCATCCCACACCTCTTCCTCTCCCTGTCTTCCACGGCGACCACCACCACTATCACCATGACTGGCGATACGAACCACTACTCTCAGCAGCCAGGTGCTCGTGTTGACTGTTGAGGATATGATCACAAGTATAGACAGTAGCCAGACTCCAGCACAGAATGCCGTGGAGTCAACATGGTGAAGGACTTCTTCGTTCATATGCTTCGCCTCATATCACGCTTTGACCTCAAAATTCCTTGTTCTATACCTTCTCCCCCGATGAGTTGGTGGCCGGAAAGATCCAATGCTGTCTCTGTAATACGATCTATCCGAGGGTACAATTTGACAGCGAAGATGAGATCTCAGGTTGACAGATCGTATTAGTCTGCAGGCACCCACAGGGGTATATACATGACGGCTCCATGGACCACTGTTACGAAAAGAGGAGTCTGACTCTACTATCCCAAAGTGTAGATTGAAACATCGACTGTATTACAACTCCACCACGACTTTCCAAATGCAGGCTGTCAAGTGATGGTGATGTGTAATGAATGCAACTACATACGACTGGAGTCACAGCAAAACCAATCAGCGCTCAGATATTTCTATCCGAGGCGAGGAAAAAACCGCCATGTTGGTAGAAGCCGTATATCAACAGTACCAGAAGCAGGCCACTGTAGTTTGGTAATTGCTCTGTTATTTGTCTAGCTACCACTTTTCAAAATGCAGAAGGTTGCTGGTCCGTCATTGAATGAAAAACAGTCGCTTTTTCAGGGCAAGCCACAGATCTATGGCCCAGCTGCCTCCAGGCAAGTTCGTATCTTTCCGCCTACTCTAATTTTCGGCATGTGCAAACTTGCCCAACACCAAGAACGCTGAAGTATGACCTGGGTTTCCTGATCCATAAATACATCAGTCGTGAAGAGGGCGTCGCAGATCTGCTAATTTGACTCGAATGGCCGTTTATTTGGGAGCTTCCTTGGCATCGACGGCAGCCTCCTCACCCATCGCAGTCAAAACAATAACGTCTGTCGAGGCATTAGCGATCCGACACTGAGTGATGGCATTTTCCGAGAGGGTTACTCACTGGTGTCCTTTTCATCAGTGCGGAAGAGTTTCTCAATCTTTTCGCCAACTTCACCCTCGGGCATCTTGACATCGTCCTTGGTGGAACCATCATCAGACATAAGAGACAAGAAGCCGTCGTCAGTAATGTCAAGCTGTGGTCTTTATTAGCGTCCACCTCTGCCATATATTGCCTAGCACCCTTCTCTTACCAGCTGGTATTCACGACGAGTGACATTCGGGACATCCATGTTGTGGGTGGATGGGGAAAGATCTTCCATCTTGCGGCCGGTAAAGATGTCGAGGGCAACCAAGTGGACCTTGGCGTGACCGTGTTTGCCAGTCTTGGAGGTGGACATTTCAACAATCTTGCATGGGCGATTCTTGATCACAACGAAGCCGTTCTTCCTCAAGGCGGAACATTGCATCGGGTAGGTGGCCGAAGCTCCGGCATCGGCGGACTCAAAGGTGTGCTCATGCTAAAAACAGGGCATGTCAGTGTCTGGTGCGACGAGGAGATACCTCGAGATCTCGATACGGGGGGATTTGTAAATGCGGCGACTGGTTTGCGCAAGGACAAAAAGGTGGGGGAGATTTTCAAGGAGAGGCATGCATACCTGCGCGTCGTTGTCCGCCATCGTGGAAAGGTGAGAAGATGTCGCTTACAAAAAGAGAGGAAGATATGCAGTGATGGAAAGGATGATCTCAAAGGGGGAGCGACAAATTCTCGAAAGAGAGGGATGGATGGGAGAACAGGAACCCAGGCCAGGCCAAAGGAAAATATCGTTTTGCAGGAAGTGGGATCTGGGATCGTGGACACTTGCAGAGGGGCAACTTGCCGCCCAATCGATATCCAGGCACTAACCTGTTTTGGAGTAATGGTCTTGGCGTGTGTCTGTGTGTGAAAACTCGCCTCGACAACGCCACCACGAGCCACCAGAGATGGCCGAGTCTTGACGTCAACCCCTTTTCGGTCAAGAGATTGCGCCTGTCATGATCTATTTTACCTCTGCGCCGAGAAGTTTCTTAAGCGTGTCTGAAGAGATGACTTCGCCTTTACCCTGCTGCGAAACAGAGCCACGGGTCAGAGCAGGCAACCGTTCAGCAGGCATAGCACGCCAATCAGTGAAAATGGAAGAAATTTGCATGTGAGAGGCGCAGATATGCTATCAAAGGCACAAACATGATGACCTCGTTCTACTATATCAATGTTGCTAACTTGTCCTGCTTAACAACCACCTGGACTCCTTTGGAATCAAGTCTGGGGAATGGAAGGAAGAAGTCGTGAGCCAACTCGACATCACTCTTGTCGGTCTCGTACAGCTCAAACTCAAAGTATCGAAACATAGCTGCCAGTGTCAAGTAGAGCTCAGCGTAAGCGAGGCTAACACATGACGCAAACAATATCAGCACAGACCACAGAAGTTGGGGAGGGGATCTGATGTTCAACTCACTTGATTCCCAAACAGGACCTCGTGCCTTTGCCAAACCCTACAAAATACCTGTCCAAACTGGATCCATTCTTTGCTTTGGGGGAGTCGAGCCACCTCTCAGGGACAAAGGACGTCGAATTGGGGAAAATTTCCTCGTCATGGTTGAGAAACGGAATTGTCATCGAGATTGGTGTCCTGGCTGGGATGGTCCATTTGCCGTATTGGATCGGCTTGGGAAATAGACGGGCATTTCGTGCCGTCGTGGAATAGGACAACCGGACGGCTTCCTTTATACAAGCTGACAGATATGGCAGCTTCTCTAGTTCTGTCCACTCGAGCGGCGCGCTGGGGTCCACCTCGTTGACGTCTGGAATGGCTTCCTCGAGCTCTTTGCGCAGACGTCCAAGTACATTCGGGTCGCTCAAAATATAGAAGGTGGCCACACTGAGTGTCCAGCCGGTGGTGGAAAGCCCGGCGCCTATGATCAACTGTGCTTCATCCTGTAGACGGCGGTCCGACTTCTCACTGGCAGGCAGGTCGCCACGAAGCAGCTCAGAGAAGACAGTGGGGTGCTCGGATTTCTCAGCGAGCGCGTCAATCCTGCCAGCTTTCAAGTCGACGATCTGTTTGGCAAAGTCCTGCAAGCGTCAGAAAGGTCCAACCAGAAGCAAAAGCACTATGAAGGCTCACTCGTTGCATCTTGAAGACGAGGGCATATAATGGTTCCAGCTTGACGAGCCAGGACTGTGGTAAGCAATTCAAGATTTTGGGCACCATTGGGAACTGCAGTGACAAGTTTCCACTGATGCTGACGGCTCTGAAAGGGTCATGCAGTATGGGTGTCCATTCAGGAATGTCGAGGCTGTTATAGTCGTGGGCGAAGCAGTATTCCATGATCACATCTTCAGCCAAGGCCATATAGCCCCGGCTGATTACTGCTGGCGCGCCAGATTGCTGGTATTCTCGGGCTTTCGCGATCAAATGATTGAGCTTCTTGCGAATGATGACCTGCAAATCAATGATTCTCTTCCGCGAGAAGAAAGGATTCAACGCGTTTCGTCGGATTCGATGCAGCTCATCGGGAGCAGTACTCAAGACCGAATTCTCGTTCCCAAAACGACCAGACATCCAGCTGTATTTATCGACCCTCCCGGCCTTGGTATAGATGGTGTCCCAGAAGTCCGAGTCCAGGATATGAACCTCGTCTGGGGTGATACGAACGATTGGTCCTGTTCATCTCGACGTGCATAAAGTCAGTCCCAGTCCCAGGCCGGTTATCCGCATCCACCGCAGTCTTGGACATCTTGACGCACCATACTTCTCGTGAAGGGCCTTGATGTAGAAGATGAATTTGCCTTGTAAGTGTACGTCGTAGTAGTATTCATGCCATGTGCTTATCGCTGCGTACTTGGGGCCTGGGAAGCGGGCCAACGGGTGAAAGTACAGTCTGTATACGACGAGCCCAAACAGATATGTGAGGCAAGCGATACCGGAGAGGATCAGACTCGCAGAGAGATACGAGTACGACATTGACGACATTGTGCGTCGACTTTGGCAGAGCAAACATGAAGTAATAGAAAAACAGAGTTTCTATTAAAGGTTGAAGAATTGACCTGATTTGATTAATTGCGAATCACTCAGCGCAGCAAATGCCCCGTGAATGTCCGTTACAATCATCATCAATCGAGCCACCCACTCACCCACATGTCTAGACTGCGGCAGAACCACCTCAAACAACTCCAACCACTGCAACATCAAAACTCTTTGCGGCGTCGATCCTGCAACCGATGTCTCTGCCGAGTATTCCTCGTCCGCCATTCGTGAACCTCTATCTCACGTCTAGCCTCTTTACCGCTTAGATCAAGGCACTAGTGAGGTGTTGCGCACCTCAGTTCCGTTCTTCCCGTCTCGCCCCGACGGCGTGTGGTGCAGTCCGTGCCCAATGGCCACCCTTGAGAGTTCGGCATTGCCCTCTGTGGTGCATGTGGTGCCTGTGGTAGACCTCTCAATGCACAATTCTACTCGTCAGGATAAAGGTGCCGTCCTTGTTTTGGATACTTGACGACTGCTGACGAGCGACTCATAGTTCAAAATCGTGTCCGTGCGTCCCGATCCTCTTGGAAGCGCCCACCAAATCCCCATTAGCGGTCAGGCGTGGGCTCTTCGACAGACCAGACAATGAATGAATGGAGGAGGGTGGCTTGCTCACAAGAAGAAGAAAACTTGATAGAATCTTTATCTCTCCCGCAAACCTCTCCGGAACTCTGAGCATTCTTCCCTTCTTCCTCCTCCTTTACCCCATAATGTGGATTTTCCGTGGCCGTGGTATCGTGTCGATATGGCTGCTAACGAAAATACAGGATACATCGAACCCGAGCAATTCAACGACGTCGACTCCGGGCTGGGCGACCTGATCTCGGAATCCGACACCGAGTCACTGCGGTCAAGCTTGCTGCAGAGCGTCTATGAAAACGGGCGTGGCTATCACAAATACAAGGATGGGCTGTACTTCATGCCAGACGATGAGCGCGAACAGGAGCGGCTGGACATGCAGCACGAAATCTTCCTCAACACTATGAACAACAAGCTGCTCGCAGCCCCCGTCGAGGCTGGCGCCACCTTGGACGTGCTCGACATCGGCACCGGCACAGGCATTTGGGCAATTCATTTTGCTGATGACAACCCGCAGTCGACGGTGCTGGGGACGGACCTCAGTCCCATCCAGCCCTCCTTCATCCCGCCCAACTGCAAATTCGAAGTCGACGACTTTGACCAGCCCTGGTGTTTTTCTCAGAAATTCGACCTCGTCCATGGGAGAATGCTTGCAGGCTCGTTGGGGGACCCCCTCAAATTGCTCCAGCAGGCCCACCATGCCCTCAAGCCCGGGGGGTGGGTCGAGCTGCAAGACTTTGCCTTCCCGGTCCGCTCCGACGACGGGACCATGGTGGGAACGGCTTTTGAGCGGCTCAACGACAACCTGGTCCGGGGTCTACATCTGCTGAACCGCGACGGGAGCTGGGCCGCGCAGTACAAGCAATTCCTAGAGCGGGCCGGCTTCGTCAACGTTGTCGAGACGCGGTACAAGTGGCCGCAGAACCGGTGGCCCAAGGACCCGCACCTCAAGAAAATTGGACACTGGAACATGGTCAACACCCTTGACGGTCTGCACGCCTTCTCTGCCCGCCTGTGCACCAAGGTGCTCGGGATGGGGCTGGAAGAGTTTGAGATTCTGTTGGCCGAGTCGAGGAGAGACATTCGAAACCCCAATATCCATGCCTATTGGCCCATGTAGGTGGTTTCCGTCTATTTCGTCCAACTCAACCTTGGAAATTTTAAGTGGGGCATTTTCACTGACCGTTCTGGCTATCTATAGTTATGTAGTGTATGGGCAGAAAGCTTGACGGACTGTGTTGTTGGGACGGGTTGAACTCGCACTATATTATGCGAGACATCCATTCGGAAGCATGCGTTTCTTGGGACGGACTCTCCGGGCACTCGTATCCAGGGAGTTCGATAGCCCTTGGGACATGGAGACCCAGCTGCCTCGAAAAGATGGTCCCGGACACTATTTATCCAGGCCATGGATTCCTTGCGTCGCCCGCTGGCCTCGATCTTCCTCTGGCGGCTCTGGCTGCTGTAGAAGGTCTGTCGGGCTAGCTAACTACCTCCCAGCTTTGCCGAAAAAAAAAAAAGGTCAAGAATGCAGTGCTAAGGAAGATCTCTGAAGCGAGACCGACAATGACGAGGCACTTGAAGGCCCAAGGTCCAGCTGAACTGAAAATCCTATACACAAAGGACCACGAGGCTATTTTTTGAGCATTCCTGGCGGTCGAACTCGTCACTCCAGCAAGAACTCCAGGTGTCAACGGTACACGTGCACCTACAGTCGCGAGGCTGGCCTATCGTACCCACCGACTGAACTCTCCCTCTCCTTCCACCCGGCCACCAGGTCTTCTACGACGACAAGCTCATCTTGACCCCAAATGACGCCGCTTTCGGGCGCGCAATTCACCCACCCTTGGTCCGTCTTGTCAAAGACGCGATACGACGGGACACCGCAGATCCCCGCATCGATGGCATCTTGGGTGTTGGTCCGCAATTGCTCCTTGACTTGCGGCGTAGAAGCCTTCTTGAATAGCGTGTCGGTATTGCATCCCGCGGTGGCGAGGTACTCGGCCAGGGCCTTGTCGTCGGAAACGTTGACGTTGCGTTCCCAGCATGCTCGGACTATTTTTGCACTCTCTAGTGGTTAGAGGTGCGGTGACAAGACTCTCTCGTAAGAAATGGGGGAGGGGGAAGAGCACAACTTACACAGCAGCGGAGTGAGATTGGGATCTACAATGGCGCAGCGCAAGGCCGTGGGCGTCCGAATGGGGAATTGTGTTGGCCAGTGCATTTCCACCGGCTTATCGTGAGATCCGCGTTGCTGGTTGATGCTGTTCCAGTGGCGGATCCAGTCACCCATGTCTTTGTGCATGATATCTCTTTTGGCCTGCGACATGGCGGCCATGGGGAGGTTGGGTGCGCCGACTCTGATTTAATCCGTCAAAACTTCGATCGCCCAGGTTTTCTTCTCTCCCACTCTTAGGGAGGATTGGCATGGGAAAAAGAACTCACTCTCTGAACAGGGCGCCCACCAAAATGGGCTTCATGACAATCTCGACATCCGGGCCAAACTGTCTCTTCAGCCGGTCCAGTTGGGTCCAGCCCAAAAACGCCCAGGGACTGCTAAAGTCGTGCCAGAACTCGACGCGTTTCTGCCCGACGGGGAATCCCGGCGCACACCGGAGCTGCAGACTTGCGAGGTTGGGGACCTGGGCGTAGTCGCAGCCGCGTTTCACGGCGATGAGCGACGCCTCGACAAAGTGCATGCGGTCCTGACCCCAGTATAGGCGACCTTGGTGCGCCTTACCCTGGTCGTCCACCCACCGCTCCCCGTCAACCCAGAACGCGGGCACGCCACAGGTCCCGCGTGCAATGACCTCGGCAGTCGAGGCGCGCAGGGCCTCCTGGGCGTTCTTGTCGTCGAACGCGGCTTCGGTGAGCGACGACGCGCTGCGGATACCGCTTCGCTTGGCTATGTCCAGCAAGACCGACTTGTCGGTGATGTTGAGGTCCTCGACCCAGTAGGCCCTGAAGAGCGCGTGCGTGAGGGCCGGACGCTCCTCCACGGGGACGTGGTAGAGCAGCCGGAGCGCCAGGACCGGGGTCTGCGGGTGCGCCGACGGCCAGTTCAGCTCGACATGGTTGCGCCGCAATGACCGTTGCATGGCCCGCGACAAGAGGCGTTTCTTGGTCGGGTTGAAGACGTCGGATGCCGACCCGCCGGCGCCTTGCGGGGCGGCCGTCTCGCGATAGATGGCGCCCAGGAGGACAGGCGTCCAGATGAGTTCAGCTTCGGTGCGATGAGCGAGTGCAGTGACGCTGGACACGCCGACAAACAGAGTCAGTCACTCGAGTTAGAATAAGTCAAATATTTCTTCTTCGACAGGATTCCCCAGGAAAGGAAGGGGGGTACATAGTATATATGTATATACAGTAACCACAATCCCGCAGTTTTTGTAAGTGTCACCTACCGAAGCGAGCCCATGTAGGCAAACGGGCATGTTACCTGGTCAATTTACACTTGCGTCAATATCCGAGCCTGTCTGATCAAGAAGGGGTCGTCTCAAGAAGACCCGAGGCAAGGGTGCTCGAGGCGTAGACAGTAGACGGTAGATATAGGATGGGATAGGATGTATGACCCATGTGATGTCTAACATCCAGCACCCAACATCCAATCTAAAGACAAGCGAGCCAGCCAGGAAGATAGGTGAAAGGATCAATCAAGAGAAATCAAAAACATACATCGTAGTAGAATTTCAGCGTCGGTCTGTCCTGGCGAGCCATTTTTTCCTTTTGTCTGTGCCTCTCTCGGAGTCTTCTCGAGATGGTTGTTTCGGTAGTGGTGGTGGTGGTGGTGGTTATTTCTGATGATGACTCTGTCGTCGGGTCGGGTCGTAGGATCGTAAGGTGGTAGGTATCGCAAACAGGAGGAGAATATATCAAATGATAGATCAGACTTCGCTCGTGGGTCAATGTCAACGTCAATGTGTCAAATGTCAATGTCGACGTCGAAGAGGAGAGGTCAATGAAGTGAGGTGAGATTATTCAAGTAGATATCTCGTCAACACCTCACTTCCGAGGGACATAAAAACATTGAACATTGAACATAGGATATGAAAGGACCGTTTACAAAACTTGTATGTATGTATGTAAATTGGTGAGTGAGAACTAGCACCTCCTACCTCGTCATCTCTGGTTGTTGATCAGGGTCGAACCTCGGCAACCCGGTAAATGGAACAAGAAATCCAAAACGACTAAGCGGGCAAGGCGGGGTCCATCACACAGCCTCGTCGTCTAACGGCCAAACACCGACCGAGCCTTTGCACCGTGCAAAAATTATAAAAATGTCCAGACAGCCAGAATGCCTCGTACACCTCGGTGGCTTGACTGTATTTGTACTTGGTGATGCAATTCACAATATCGTGGATCACATCCCGGCAAACACCTCAGTTGACACTGACTTCTGACCCCGAGCTGGTGCCTGGCGGACATCTTCAGGCAAGATAGAGGTCCATATTAGCAGAGTAAAAGAGCGAAAATGCCAAAGAGGAGGACGAAATAGACACTGGCGCAAGTGACGGGGAGAAGGTGTGGGTCAACCGACGGATAGTACTTGCACAGAGGCACAAGTAGGACGGGTAGGCAGATAGGTATTGTCCAGGGTCAGAAACCAAGTCTGTGGGAGACCGATAATTATCTAACGCCCCGATCGGAAGGCCTCGTTAGCTACCGGACAATGCTTTCACCTCGACCGCTACCTGTGGGACGTTCTTCGTGATGTTGGCCTTGACTCCCGCCTTGCGCCATCCGTTGAGCGTCGCTGGCAAGACCTTGAGCGCTGGCTCGAGATAGCCATCGTGGGCCAGGCACACCAGCACGTCCTCCCTCTGACTGATCTCGTGCAGCTTGCCTATCGTAGCTTTGGCCGTTTCAAGGTCCTTGTGCATGGAATACGCCCCATTGGGTCCGTGTCCTTCGCCTAGCATGCCCTCGCCAGTAAAAATCTTCCTGTGGTGGCAACAGTCACCACCCATGACCACATATTCGTCCAATCCTGTACGAGCGAGCCCCATCAGATGACCCGGCATATGTCCAGGCGCGTCGAGGAGGAGAAAGCTCCCGTCACCGAAGAAGTCGAACGCCTTGGGGAACGGACCGAATGGTATCCATTGATCTTCTTCGTATGAAAGTTCGCGGACACTGGGATGTTCGAGGATGGAACCTAAGAAAGGCGAATCCGGATTTGTTGGGTACCCTGGGTATGAAGCAGCCTTTGAACCTGGCCCTACCACAACCTGGCTGAGCGGAAATTCTCCTGGATTTCCAACATGGTCAAAGTGAAGATGACTATAGACCACATAATTGATCGATGTGGCCGGGATGCCTGCCTCTTCGAGCAATTCAGCGGCACTTTTTGGTACTCGAGGCTCGGTGAGAACAAATTCTTCTCGAATGCATCTAGGGTATGCTTCCAAGTCCTAAGCAAAGTTGTTTTAACACCAACAAAATCCTCCAGCGCAGAGATCAGAGTTCCGTACCTTGCGAATACCTAGATCAAACATGAGACTTCGCCCGCTTGCTTGATGGTGGATATAGAAGCTGTAGTCCGGATACAATGTCTTTGTTGCAAGGTCTGCCCCAGCAAGAATCCATTTGTCTGGCAAGAAGAGTTGCCCTGTGGGTACCAACGACACCTGCACAATCTGCTCTTTGTGAGTCCCGTTCTGCATCTTCAGCAACTGTGCCTGCTGCGCGCACGACTCACATTCCAGATCACCGAGTAGACAAGCCTTTATTGTTTGGTGCTGGTCTTGTCGCAACAGATCTCCATCGCGGATGTGCGCGGCGCACAATGCTCCTCTCACTTCTCTTGACCCTACCCTGTCTGGCGTCGCCCTTGAGCATGGCGAAAGAGGAAGATGGCGAGTCGCCGGCAGGAGGAACCTTTCGGGATCTGATCCCGAAGGTAACTGAGACTTTTCCATTAGGAAGGGATCCGCGGCTTCGATAGCCAAGGCGCCTACCTCTGCAATTGGCCAGTGGCCACGGTCACTCTTGATGGCTTCTTCTCGGTATGGCCTGGATTCGAAGGCCAGGGACCCGTCGTTGTCGCTTCGCGCAAACAGACTCCGCAATCTCCGCAATGCAATGCAATTTGACGCACTGCTAGCACGTGGAGAAGTTGGGGTTGGAAATGTGTGGGAGCGAGTGGGAAGTGAGTGGGAACCTGAACCTGAGGATTTGGTGGAGGATGTTGGGCTTGGCCTACAGTTTACCGCAGTTTGTCGCAGTTTGCTGCATTCTCGTGATTGCTAGACGCAGTCAACCTTGCACGTATCTTACTGTTTTTCCCAGTTCAAGCCGATGTACATCTATTCAATCTGTCGAGTCTATTCAGCTGGAGATACAGTATTGTCTCGGTGGAATCTGAAAAATTGGCTCTTAAAGGACAAGATCAAAGGTGATGAACGAGCTCCAAGACCTCGACTCCGGTCATGATATCAACTATCCCCCTTCGAAGCGACGACGAGTCGGCATGGCTTGTATTCCCTGTCGCACACGTAAAGTGCGGTGCGATGGAACTCGGCCAAAATGCTCTGCCTGTTTGCGTAATTGCACCTCGTGCGCATATCAGCCTGCAAGCCAGATGGTCAATGTCTCTCGAGAGTGAGGAACTATGTGGAGTTATTTCTCGAACCTGTCTAATCGAATTCAGATACATAATGAAGCTCAAGCAAAGGGCGGAAGCAGCAGAACAACGTCAAGGGGTGGTAAACTCTACAGAGCCCAGTCCACCGTTAACCCAACGGCGACAGGACCTTCAGCGCCGCGAACTGCTGAGGAATTCTCTGGAAGAGGCTACCTCGAGTATGTCAGAACTAGTTTCATACTCACGTAACAACATCAGCACGAATCGAAGTCGAGACGTTGAGCGTGCCCAAGACAAACAGGTGGCGGACTCCAACAATGGCCCAGGAACCATAAACCAGCTCGACAAAAGCCCCGGTCATGGTCGCCCACCGCTACATCAAGGACTCAACGAGGAAAGGATAGCAACAAAGGACTTTTCGTCCAAAGTGTCCTCTGTGGAGAAAGCGGACAGGCCTCGATCTTGGTCGCTCCCCGCCTCTCACGATGCTACTAGTTTCGAAGAGCCCAACCCCGATGATTTCTACGGGGATTCATCCACCCTCTCCTTCATGCAAGCTGTCCAAACAACAATCATCTCAAACTCGTCTCCGGATTCGGTGTCGCCAGACTCGAATTACAGAAGTGGAGCCAAACCACGCCCGACCCGAGCAGTCTCATTCCGATTTGGCGTTGAGAATTGCTTACCTCAAAGGTCTCTTGCTGACGACCTGGTCAATTCCTACTTCCGCTACGTCCATATCCTGTATCCCTTCTTACATCGGCCTTCATTTGAGGCTCAATACGAACGCACCTGGGTCTCAGGAGAACAACAAGACGATCAGTGGTTGGCAATGCTGAATGTCATTTTCGCTCTTGGGATCCATTTCGCATATGGACAGGAAGACAAATCTGCAGCGAGCGATAGGTTCTTTGGTTATGCGCAGAAGCTCGTCTCAATGGAGCAATTTGCTCACGCAAATCTGCAAACACTTCAGCTTCTTCTGCTCAGCGGTCTCTACTATCAATCTACCAGTCGTCCGAACCAGACATGGAACGTGATAGGGTTAGCCATAAGGATTGCCACAACCATTGGAGCCCACGTTGATCCAATGCCGTCACAATACAATCCCTTGCAGATTGAAATACGGAGAAGATGCTGGTACGGGTGTATTGTCCTCGATTCGTGGGTAGATCTGGCACACCTTGTTGGAACCTGCTAACCTGTTTCAAGAGTTTTGGCGCTGAACTTTGGACGTCCCACTGCCATTCCAAGTACCTTTGGTGTCTCACTTCCTTCGAACCTCGACGATGAGTATATCACGGAAGAAGGTTACCTCGAACAGCCCGAGCACGTTCGACCCAAGATAACGGTCTTTATCAAATCAGTGGCTTTCTGCTCCATCATGAAGGACGTATTATACACTCTCTATTCACCCCTCAACGGTTCTGGTCACCAGCATAGTGGCAAGGCTTCTGCGCCTCCCGAATTCAAGGACGCGGTCAACCTGGACAAGAGCCTGGTCGAGTGGTTTCGAGGGCTTCCAGAGTACTTGAAAGTAGGGGCTTTGGACGAGATGGAGGAATTTCGGAGAACCAGAAATATCCTCCTTGCCAGGCAAGCCAGCGTAACTAGCGAAGCTTTTCTATGGCTGACGCTTGCAGATTTCTGAATCTCAGGGTTTTGATTCATCGACCCTTTGCTTCTCTGTGGCAGCAGTCGTCTGCTGCCGCGGAGCCGGTTTACCTTGCCCCCCTTGACAACTCCCTTCACGCCATGTGTGTCACGGTGTGCAAGTCAGCCGCCGTTCAATTGGTGAATGTCATTAGCAACAACTATTATCAAGGACTGTCTAGCGCGTGGTGGACTGATATGAACTGTAAGTGCACAAATGCAACCATCACGCACGAGAATGTCTGTTCGAGCATGAGCACAACTTGAGGCATCGCATAGGAGGATGTTTTCATTGAATAACACGCCATGACCCAGCCGCATCGGCACATACTGACCACTTCCCCCTCCTACTAGATCTATTCACTGCAGCAACAGTACTGCTAGCCATCGAATACGAATGCGAAGACCCGGAAGAGAGTGACGCGACCGAAAGTGCTTTTGAACAATCCCTCATAATCCTGGGCGAAATGCAAGGCCGCTCGTCCATGGCATCCTCATATGTCACCATGTTGAAAAAGGCAAAGGAAGCTCAAGAATCAGCGCAAATCGCGCCGTTGGCCCCTACTTCATCGCCCCGAGCACGTTCGAATAATGCGCCTCCGCGGAATTCTTCATCGACTTCTGAAATCGTGTCTGGTGGGATCAACCTGGAAGAATTTTTGAAAGATGACACCAGAGCCGATGCTCCTTTCCCGTCTTGGAACATGCAGGACTTTTTCTTGGTCCCTTGGGATATGATGATGGTTGATAACCCTATGCCTACGTTTCAATCTTGACAGCTAAGACCATGTACCAAATACACTCTGGGCCATCAAAGCCATATTTCTCAGGGTCTCTTCGGAGATGAATTCTATATGTCCACTGTTTCGCCTTCTACCCATTTCTTACACTGTCGGTACAATTCATCATGAGCTCGGCCACAGTCGTTGTCACCTTCACGCCGATGGCCAGGCATGTCCAATTTCACCTTGACTCCCATCACGGCCTCCTGACAGTATGCTAGGTAACGATAGCCAGTAGGATACATCTTGAGCTTTTCGTCATCCAGCACCGGTACTTTTGCAGGATTAACGGGGATCAATTTGTCCTTTTCATACCAGTGCCGGACGAAGCGAGCAGCCCACACCCCGGTGGCCACGTCCCTCTCCCAGAAGAAGCAGAAGCGACAATCTGACTCGGCGTCGGCCTCGATCCCATCGAGGTCGAATCGCTGCGTGATGGCAGCTTTCATCTTCGTCACGGCACGTGTGCCTTCCACGTTGATATCCGTCGTCGACCCATGAACCCGGTGCATTATGAAAGCGCCGTTATCCATGCCCCTTTTCGAGGCTTCGATGAAGTCCTTGTACGGCGTCCGGCCCGTCCAAGTTGTGTACACATAGGCGTCTGGATGGAAGATTGAAGCGAAATTCTCCCACTCGCAGGCATCCCTGGAAGAGACTTGTTGTCAATATACATCCACCTCGATTTTGTGACTGTCTGAGAGCAGGTCAATACCTATAACAAGGCCACCCTTCGGCCAGTTCGCGCAGCTTGTAACGTTGTAAAGCGAGGTCGTCTGGCCCATTGTTGCGGATCGCCTTGTTTGGTTGAGAACCATCTGGGAGGGAATGCAGATCAACCATGGTCCAGGTCTCTCTGGCCAGAGTGATGCCCAGTTTCTGTCTAATTCAATGAAGCTTATGTCTTTCGGGGTCGGCTCCTCACCTGCCAGATCTGGTAACAGAGATTGAACTGAAGATTGGCCTCTAGGGACGCTGAAGGCAGAATGGCACGAGTGAGATGACCAACACTTGTCCGATTCGAGCGATGCCTTCTGTCCGTCAAACACACGAGGTACCTGGCGCTCGGTTTGCTCTGCCTTCGGGAAGAGATCCCGCTCAGGCGAGACCTTGGGGCGCCAGTGGCCTCGATATCCGGGGGCTAGCGACCGAGGCGCGGCCAACCGCCGGCGAACCAATGAACGACACTCGCAACGGTCTTGGTCCCGTATGGCCCTAGATGGACGGCTTCAAGGTGCACACGCACACACACACGGGAGGTATTGTCACAGCGCGCACGAGAGTTCTGGCTCATATACCACCCACCCGAGGGGTTAGGAGGAAAGCCCTTCCTTGGTGCAAAAGATGGACCGATATAACAGCCATGTCTGGACGTTTGGGGCCCCCTCTCCACCAAAGGTACAGTGCAGGGCACCATGGCTTCACCGAGAGTGGTTGACATGGCCGTCGACGCCGCCTCGTATATCCGGTCGCACCTGGGATTGACCGTGACGGTGTGTGTCGTGCTGTACTTCATCTCCCAGCGGTACAAGACCGGCCTTCGACACATCCCGGGTCCCTTTGTGGCCGGTTTTTCGGGCTTCTGGAGGGCGTGGGAGGTGGCCAAGGGAGACTGGCACGTCAAGAATCTCGAATTGCATCGACAGTATGGTCCGCTTGTCCGCATCGCCCCGAATGTCGTCAGTGTCTCTGATCCGGATGCACTTCGTGTCATTTACGGGCTGAACAGCGGCTTCACAAAGGTGCGGAACTGGATATGACCCTCTCTCTCTCTCTCTCACATTGACCATGGCATCAAAAAGTCAGCTAACACCGCGGCAGACGGACTTTTATCCCATCCAGGAAATGAAATACGGTAAAATCTATCTGGCGAATCTCTTCTCCACCAAGAGCGACGAGTTCCACGCCAAACAGAAGAGGTCGGTCGCCACGGCCTACTCCATGACCTCGATGCTGGCCTTTGAGCCGTACGTCGACAACTGCTCCGAGCTCTTCTTCAAGAGACTCGACGAGCTGTACGTGAACCCGCACCAGCCCTGCGACCTGGGCAAATGGCTGCAGCTCTACGCCATGGACGTGATCGCCGAGGTGACGTTTGGCAAACGATTCGGGTGTATGCAAGAGGGCGGCGACGTGGGGGGCTTGATCGACACCATCGACAAGTTCCTGGTCTACGCGTCGGTGGTGGGCCAGGTCCCCTACCTGCACAAGTTCCTCTTTGGCAACCCCCTATTGCCCTACATCCTCCCCAAGCTGGACAGCATCAACCACGTGGTCAAGTTCACGCTCGAGCGCATCTCGGAGCGCGAGAAGGACTCGGAACGCCACAAGGACTTTTTGGGGAGACTGTACGACGCCAAAGCCGAGGGCAAGATGGAGGCCGTCGACATCGTCCGACACAGCAGCGCCAACGTCTTTGCCGGCAGCGACACGACGGCGATAGCCCTCCGCGCCGCCATCGACGGACTGCTCGCGAACCCGGAGTGCTACCGCAAGCTCCAGGCGGAGATCGACCAGAAGCGGGCCGAAGGCAAGCTCTCGCTGCCCGTCAAGTACGCCGAGGCGCAGCAGATGCCGTACCTCCAGGCCGTGCTCAAGGAGGGCATGCGGTATCACCCGTCCGTGTCGTTTTTGCTCGAGAGGCACGTCCCCAAGGGCGGCACCGTCGTCTGCGGCACCCGCGTCCCCGAGGACACCATCGTCGGCGTCAACGCGTGGGTCGTCCACCGCGACCGCAAGGTGTTTGGGGACGACGCCGACGTCTTTCGACCGGAACGGTGGCTGGAGGCTGACGAGGCGCAGCTCAAGGCCATGGAGAGAGCTTTTTTTGTGGTGAGTTTTTTTCCAACAAAAGTACCCTGAATTCCCCTTCCGTCTTCGCCTTGGTCTCCCCTCTCCAGTCCTCCCTTCTCCTTCTCCTTTCTTCTCCAGAACCTCGCGCTAACACGAGAGGAAAAACTCTGTCACAGTTTGGCGGCGGCTCCCGGACCTGCACCGGCCGCAACATCAGCCTGATGGAAATGTCCAAGGTGATCCCCTCCCTGCTGATGGTGTACGACATTGAGCGCGCCGACCCCAAGGCCCGCACGCAGACCAAGACGTACTGGTTCGCCGTGCAGAGGGGTTTGGTGTGTAACATCCGGAGGCGGCGGGAGAGGGAAGATTCGAAAGTCTGAGAAGGGGGGGTTTAGGGCTGCGAGTGCCCAAGGTCTGAGGATAAAAAGGCAGAGAGGCGGCCTAGGCCAAGGCTAAGGCTGAGGGAGGATGAGATATGCGATTGTGAGGCGGGGTTTGGGGATTGGACTTGGGAGTGGATAGTTGTATAGTGTCTAGTCCCGGGACACAGAGAGAGATATTCTTATAACTACCTACTGGATCGTCGTCACTCATTCATGGGGCGAAGGAACACCTAACACAGTACCAAAAAAATGAAGAAGGTGTCAGTCAAGCAGACGGGGCAATTGTAGGTATGTACGTCCTTGTTCTGCTGCGTTCAAGATGAGATGAGATGAGATAAAACGAGATGATATTGAACCAGTGCCTTGCTTGCCTTGCGTGCTTCGATCGCTGATCGGTTGATTGGTAGATCATAGCTTTGTCAGGGACAGGTACATGTAACATACATACATACAAAAGAAATGTACACTCATATACGAGGTATACTAACGAGGTACACCATGAACACTCTTTTTTGTCTGTGCGAGAAAGCTACTATACCCAACATAATCCATCCATCCCAGAAGCAGTAAAAGTCCTAGATACGGCAACTGGAGGATCCAGATAGCCAGATCGACCTTGACTTCCCCCCCCCTTCACAGAGTGATTCGGACAGGCCCCGACCAGCGACGCAGACGGGCGCCATAGACCTGGACAAAGACGAGAATAACATAGGCGGCGACGACGATGACGGCCTGCAGACCAAAGGAGACGTCGAAGCCCATCTTCAAACCCCACGACTGCTGGAAGTAGCCGACGGTGAAGCCGCCGAGGACGCGGGCAAAGTTGAGCAGGGCCGAGACCTCGCCCGAGGCCGAGGGATAGCAGTCGAGGACGTAGGCGACGGTGGCGACCGAGACGACCATGACGCCGAACTGGAACATGCCCCAGCCGAAGACGATGGCGACCCAGTGCCAGTGGCGCTGCAGGGCCTCGCCGACCAGCACGAGCCCGGGCACCATGAAGACGCCGCCAATGTAGTTCGTCCACAGGCGCGTCTCGGGCACGAACAGGCCGTGGTGGCGCGTCACGTAGCGCGCCGCGATCCAGTCGTTGAAGTAGTGCCCAAACGCCTCGCCGATCAGGATGGCCACAAACGGCGTAAAGTACATGTACCCGCACGCGATCGAGCTGAAGCCGTACCCGCCGGCCTCGACGGGCGTCTGGAGCAGGATCGACGACGTGATGTTGATCCCCACCGACCACATGAAGATCATCAGGTAGAACAGCATCGACAGCGGGATCACGGGCTTGAGCAGCACCTCGCCCAGCCGCCCGTAGCACCGCGGCAGCGTCGAGAAGTAGCCGTTTCCGTGGTGCTGGATCTGCCACACGCCCAGCACCCGCGACAGTCGCCCCAGCTGACCGCCGGGTCGCGGGGGCTGTTGCGTCGGCGGCACCGAGCGCTTGTAGTAGGTCTCGTCGCCGAACATCAGCGTGAGGCAGAGCAGGAAGCACGACCAGGCAAAGACGAGCCAGAAGACCGGGCGCCACTCGCCCAGCGTGCCCACGATGAAGTTGCCGCAAAAGGGGCCGACGAAGGGCGAGATGATATAGATGGCGTACCAGACGCCGATTTTCCGCGCGTGCTCGTGGAAGAAGAACATGTCGTGGATAAAGGCCAAGCCAATCGTCTGGCCCGTGCTCTGCGTGACGCCCTGCAACGTTCGGAAGCCGTAAAAGGCGGCAAAATTGGGTGCCAGCGCCGAGCCCAGCGTGAAGGCCGCGCCCATGACGGAGCTCCAGAACAGCACGGGCGTGCGGCCCCAGTAGTTGAG